ACCTCCAGGTTTAGGGTTTTCATTTGATTCTCTCGCCTTTCCTTTACTCTTTCTTCTTCGGTTTCTCGAACGGTAGCGGGACGGTGACGATTACTATCATGAAAGGTCTCGTTCGTCGTAATGGCTGTAAAAGGCCTTGACGACCATTCTGATATATCACCACCCATATTCTGAGTCCCCCTTCAATTACTTTCTTCTTCTAACAAAAAAACCCAGATCCAAGTTTCGTTCTTTTTTTCCCCCCTTTCGATCTCGATGTGGTATGGCCGATGATTTAATATCGAAAATTGACAAGCATATGTCTGAATTTTATCAATGTTGATACGCCTAATCTTCTCTATGAGGCCATTTCAAGATCTGTTCTTTCCATCTGGGTTTTCAATGCTTTCGTTTTTTGCCTGTGATGAGAACTGGTGATATTGTGTCAGTATGACGAATTGCTTGATTACAGAACAAACCACTACTGCCTTCCTTCTGAGGCTTATGTTTCCTCTGTTTGTTTTTAAACAAGATTTACTGTTTTTTTCATGGATTTGATTGATGGGGTCAGGTGATGATTTATAATGCATAGTTCAGCTGAGTAATCACTGTGATTAGATAAATCCTTTTTTAGTCTTTCGCTCCTATCTGATGACCCTGAAATCGTTTTTCTTTCTCAATGTTGTAGAGAGTATTTGAGAACTCTTTGTTGTGGTGTTTATGCGGAAATGGCCGATGATTTCTCTTTTGACAAGCATATGGCTGAATTTTAAACTTCATGTCGACAACCGAAATCGGATTCCCTATGAGGCCATGTTTTGGATGTTTTTTTCCCCCAACTGCTTTAAAAATGGACTCCATTTTTGAACTAATGGCATGCATTGTATCAATGTACTGGTTCTTCGAGAATGGTTTGGCTGGACGTAGTTCTTTTGGTTTCAGGTACAATTCGAAGTGTGAAGGTACTAGTATGGTGATGGGCTGAATGGTTCTTTTGGCCTCTGGAAGAGGAACAGACCTCCAATCTCAGTTTTGGCTGCTCTTGACTTGTAGCAATTCTTCATCCATATTCCATTGTATCATGATTTTTTTTCCGTATTGCTACACTGTACAATGTTTGGCTAAATGAAATTTTATACAAATTTTTCATGGTTTGTGTTAATATATCTGGGATTGCTGTAACGAAATTTAATGGAAATTATTGTAATAGTTACATTAATTTGGTTCATGAAGCCAGTCTATTCAATGAGATACCAAATCGTGTCCCAATATTCCCAACTTCATAAAGATCAGTCATAAAACAAACCTCAAAACAAAGAGACTGATCATCATAATCTTAAGGGCTTTCATTGTTCCACGGAAAACACTTCAAGTATCAATGACTAGTTGAAGTCCTTCAGTGCTTGAGAAACATATTCCTCGCTGAGACAATTCTAAGAACAAAGGGAAGATTGACGCCACGAATGCCTGCATTTTTAGGTTTCAAGAACAAAGGTAAGGTAAGATAAATCCTAAAAGTACCTTCCCATCTTTGCTCTCCCTTCTCTCCTAAAAGTCTCAACTTCCTCTGCCTTTCATGGCTGCCGCCGGCTCCTTTTGGTGACCGGCGGCAGCCCATGCCCTTTATTTTCACTGCTTCTTCCTTTTTTCCTGCTGTTGTTTCTTGTGGCCTGGCTTTTGGTTTTTTCAGCTTCGGTTTTCAGTCTCTCCAGTCGTTATGGCGTTTCAGATCTAGGATTTTCCTAGTCAAGGCTTGCTCGTTTGGGGGACCTGGTGTTTGCAGCTTGGAGTCTCGATCTGACCCTTGCGGTGGTTGGTCGTCCAGGTTGGTGGTCTCATCTCCTTTGATGAAGCCATTCTCATTTTTCCTTCTCCGACCTCCCCAGGATGTGGGTGTTGCTTGGTCGGTCGTCGGTTTGTGGAAGTGAGTCTTCTCCGGTTGCGGCGGTGGAAATCAGTTCAGCGGTGGCCTTTGGACCTCTTCGGAACCCGATCTCTATTCCTAGCCCCTCTGCCTTCTCAGCTTGGAGCATTCTGGTTCATATCCTTCTCCACCGCCATGTAATCTTCACCGAGATTCACTGTGATGGATGTCTTCGCGCAATCCCCAGGAGGCGGCACATGACTTTGCTTTGCTCAACAGTCATGGATTTCGATTTGATCAGACTAGCTGACCTAATCTTGTTGTGGTTTGATTGATTGGTTACAAGAGGGATTTTGTGGTTCCTGTTTTGGTCCGTGTGTTTGGATCTTTCTCTGTGATTGGTTTTCATTCTGTGCTTTGTGTCTCCCTTGTTGCATCCTTGAGCACAGTTTGTAAATCGGTTGTTCTTTGTTTCTCTCCTCTCACTGGATCCATTTCTTTGGTTCTTCATGTTCTTCTTGTAACTGGTTCAGTTGAAATGCAATAAAGATTCTTCCTTGTAAAAAAAAAGAACAAAGGTAAGATTGAGACAATGAATGGCTGCATTTTTAGGGGTCAAGGTAGAAATGCTAGTGGCGGTGCTTTTATTTGATATTATATATTTCCTAGAACAATCGAATGTGGGTATAGTAATTTTATGGGCTTAAGGTTAGAAAATGTGAAGGCTTAGTGATTTTATTAGTTTTGAGATAACGTATAATATGAATAACGAGCATCCATATTCAACGAACTTTTTATGTAATTATTTGTATTTCATGTGCTATAAGTTTTTGTATAACATGATAATATGACAGGGAAGAGTATGTCTACGGTAATAACGATAAGGTGTTGATATAACAAATAACATAGTATTTGCACAATGATAAGATGATAATATGATATACACAGTTTTAATATACATAAAAGTTCACAATATGAGCTTGCCTGCTATGACACTGAAGAGAGTTTTAGCATAATAGTAAGATCTTGATATAATGATAATAAGTCTTGGAACAGAGAATTACCATAACGGTTAGATGAAAATTATATGATGGTGTTATGACAAAATAAATTGTTAGGTTGGATCTTAGCATAGTCATAACATGGTATGAAAATTCTTACTATTGTGGTATGCTAATTTACCAATGCGGCATATTTTGATATAGTATTTGTATTTTTGAAAATAATTTGTTGGATATTGTCTTTGGTGATGCTCTTTTATACGATGAGACAGCAATAATATTTTCATATATTATGGAATGCAAGGGAAAGAAGGAACTATATAGTCAATTTCAAGAGTTCCCTTTCATTTCTACGGGAGTAATTATCATAATATATTCATGAGAAATTTTACAATACTATATAGTATTGGTGTTATAAGTTTTTGTCTTTATGGTACAACTTTAGATTGTACATATACTTTTTGTGCAAATTCTTTTATGATACAACTCGAACTTGTACCTTTATGTGATGGTACAACTTCAAGTTGTAAAGTTGTACAATAACATAATGGTACAAATTGCTTTATGGTACAACCTAAACTTATACATTTAATGTTATGGTACAACTTTGAGTTGTACATTAAAGCACCAATGCTATATAGCATAGTAGAAGTGCTCTATATTCATTTAATACTCGTGTGCATACTAAATATAAAAAAAAACACTCTTTTCATGCTATCGCATAGTTGTCTAATTTTTTTTGGTTTTGTTTATGCTTCGATAATTAAAACATGTTTAATTAACCCATTTCAATGAATCAAATTAATAAGTTAATAAGTTTTAATTTATATTAACATAGTTTTATAACCAATTTCAAAATTTTAACCATATTGTTATATGCTAAAATCATGTAAAATTTATTTTTAACTTGACCGATCCCTTGTTCGCCGTATGATAATTTTTTTTCCCCATATACAATCTTGGCACTATTTTGCTATTATGCATCGAACCAGTAGTTTCCCAAGTTTAGTCTTTCCATATACAGTTTCACCATAAAAATTGAACATTTAATGAGATCCTTAAAAACATTAAACAGTAAACACTCAAACTTAGGTAATAAAAAAAAAAAAAAATTAGTTCATGAACTGACCAACTCAACCCAAAAAAAAGCTCTGTTTTCTCCTTTACAAGTGTCCACCCCACCGTTTCATTCTCTCCCTCTTCCTCCGCAATCACATGCTTTCCGACCCAATTCCGTTTCACAATTTCACTGCCAAACAAAAAAAGAGAAGAACTCCATTACTCCACACTCTCACAGCTTCTTCTTCTTCACCACTCCACTCACTCAAACCCAACGAACAACAAAAAGAAATGTACGCCAAATACGCGAAATCGTCGGATTCCGACCTGACCAGCCTCGAGCCGTCGTCGCCGCGATCCCCAAAGCGGCCGGTGTACTACGTGCAGAGCCCATCGCGAGACTCCCACGACGACGGCGACAAATCCGCCACCGCCTCTTCCTCCTCGCTGCCGAACACCACTCCGATCGATTCCCCTTCCCACCCTTACTACCACCCGGGCCGCCACTCACGCGCATCATCATCGAGCCGCGTCTCCGGCGGGTCCTACCCCTCCTCCGCCTCCGCCACCCGGAAACCCACCGGGAAAATCAGACGGTGGCCCAGTTCCGCCGGAAACTGCCACGTCATCCTCGAGGAAGGAGGAGGCGATTATGATGGCTACGGCGACCCGGCCAGGTGCCGGGTCCTGCTGGCGGTCATGGGTTTGGCCGCGATTTTCACGGCGTTCTGTTTCCTTCTCTGGGGCGCCAGCCGTCCTTTCAGCCCCCAAATTACTGTCAAGGTAAAGAGAGAAAGCGAAAGATTTACAGATTTGGGTTCCTGAAAAATGTTTCAATCTTGCGATTTGCGAATTAGCCCCAGTTGATTGATGATATCTATGGATTTTTATGATGATTGGGGGCAGAGCTTGACGGTTCACAATTTCTACTTCGGGCAAGGATCGGACCTGACAGGGGTCCCGACGAAAATGCTCACCACCAACTGTTCCGTGGGGATCAAGGTTTATAACCCGGCTTCGTTCTTCGGAATCAGCGTGAGCTCGACTCCGGTTCATATCATGTTCTCCCAGCTCGTCGTTGCGACAGGCCAGGTAAGCTAGACGAGGCGATCGATCTATGGATTGGTTGCACGAGGCGAGGTGATGTTGTATTGTACTGTTGTGATATGGTTTTTGGTGTGGGGTTTTGCAGCTGAGGTCGTATTACCAGCCGAGGAAGAGCCACAAGGCAGTTTCGGTGAATGTCAAGGGGATGAGAGTGCCTCTCTACGGTGCAGGGGCGAGCCTGACGAGATCGGCGGAGGAGGAAGTGCAAGTTCCGGTGAGGTTGGTGTTTGAAGTGAGGTCGAGAGGCTACGTTGTGGGGAAGCTGGTGAAGTCTAGGCACACACAGAGGATCTCTTGTGCCCTGATGTTTGATTCTCGAACAAGCAATCCCATTCGGCTTAAGAAGCATTCTTGTACGTACAAGCTCGTATGATCGCGAGCACTTCTGTATTTTGAGCAAAGAATTGTGCTGCCAAGTGATGACATGAGCAATAAAAGATCTACAACCGTCAAAAGTTTTGCAATGTGAGTTGTGCAAAATATAAGCATCCATCGATTTGTCGCTAAGAATCGTTATAAACAGGCTGGTTGTTTGATCCATGGTTACAATTCTACCAAAAAATGACATAATACACAACATGGGAAGGGGGAAAACGGTGAAGATGCAGGCCTGCCAGTCAGTCGGACTTGATTGCAGGGGCTCGGACGCTGATGCTCTCCAGCTTATCAGCAGAGCAATTTGTCTCAGAAGCTGTACTGCCGATCCTGTAAGGAGGCCAATACCGGACCACTGATCTTCCTAGTATGTTCTCTGCCGGAAGAGGACCCCTATATGAAGAGCATTTCGATGTATCAGTAGAAGTGAAAGCAACAAGTATAGATGATCTTTTGGAATCTTTTATCTTCAGAGGGTAGGTCAAAGATTGGGAAACATTTACCAGACATGTGAATCGTAACTGTTATTCCGGTTGTCCCCCATTACGAATACATAATTCTCGGGTACCTTCTGCAGCAAGCATAAACACGGAAGAACAGTGAATTGTGTGTGTGATTGAGAACCTTGGAAGTTTTATCATGCTACAGAACAAAGAGACTTGAGTGAATATGCTTACACTTGGTTCCATCTTATAAGAAGGCTTCTCATAGATGAACTTTTCATCTCTCTCGACTCCATTCACTATAACCTTCCCATCACGGACCTGACAGATTAAGCATATCAACCAAGTCATTACGACAGCAGTAACATCGAGAGGAAGAAGAAAAGCTCGCCCTTGTTTAGGTTAGGGATCTGACCTCGACAATGTCGCCTTCCTTGGCAATGATTCGTTTGATGAACACATCTTCGTCGGTGTATCCAGCTTTTTGGAGGACTGGAGGAGCCTTGAATATAACTATATCATTTGTACAAGGTTCTCTGAAGCGGTATGTGACCTGAAAAGTTGCATTTGAATTCTCATTCTCAATTTCCCCATACAAGCTTATACATTCAAGAAACCTAGACTGAGAATACATAATCTGATCAACATTTCCATGAACCTAAGTGCACTGAAGCAAGACAAACCGCCCATCATCAAATTGGTCCTTGCTTGATTAAATCCGAGTGGATTCTCAAATCCTTAATCAAGCTGGATTGGAGGGATAGCTCTGCCAAGCTAGATTCCCAATTGTCCAATTCGAATTCCCAGTAAGTATCTCAAACTAGAATCCAGGAACAAAACTCCACCCCTTCCCTCCAAAATCCTTGACTAGAGCAATGGGACTAACTCTAGCTTAATGGGAAATGAAAAGGGGAGCGTTTTCTTTTACCTTCTCTGCAACAATTCTGTCGCCGACATCAAAAGTTGGGTACATCGACAGCGAAGGAATGAACCTTGGCTCGGCCACGAAAGTCCGAAACGCAAGCGAGATGGCCACCGCCGCGGCCACCGTCTTGGCATCGTCCAGAGAGAAATTCAACCACTCCGGCAAAAGCCCACTGCTTTTCCCCTCACTCCCGTCGTCGTCCCCACCACCTCCGCCGCCACCGCCGTCTCCGCCGCCGCCACTACTACTAGAGTCCACCGCCGAAGCATTTTTCGAACCCTTCACCCCATAACAGGTCGTAGGCCTCCGCAACCGAGCCGAAGGTACTAACCTCCGGCGAAAGTCGCGATCTTCAACGGGAAATTTGACGTGGGTCGGGGTGAAATTCGGGATAGAGAGACGGCGGTGGGCAGCTGTGAACAAGGGAAGCGAAGGGAGACTGGGGTTTTGAATGGACTGGAAATTAAAGATTTGGGGAGATATCATGATTGAAAGCGGAAGGATCTAAGGAGCTCCGTGGAGCTGGAAATCTGGATTAGGTTCGGAGCTCCAGAGTCCGGGGAGATGGAGGAGACGGTGGCGATTCCCGGTCTCGAATTGCCTGGAGTCATACTCCTAGTTTGGTTCTTTGGGCTTTTCCAATGGGCCCAATATTTCCTCGTTGGCCCATTCATAGCTTATAATGGCCCAATTGGTTGACAATGAATATTATAGAGGAAACGGTGCTGTGTGGTCCAGATTAGACCATATACACGGTTTGTGGTTCAGATTGTGTGGATCAGTTGAGTTTATATGATTTATAGTTGAGATTAAAGTGGGAATTTTTGAAATCACTGGCCAAAGTTTATTAAATGAGTGTAATTCGAGGCAAAATAAGGTATTAACCTTTCTAAAAAAGTGATTTGAATAATAAAAGATATGGCCAACGTGGGGCTTTGGATGTAAAAAGGACAATATTTACCTGCAAACCAAAGAATGAGAATTTAGTTCAAGAAAAATAAACAATAGTATCCTATTTTCTCTCTGGTTTCGGTTAGGGTTGCGATGACGGCCTTGTCATTGGAGATCCCGCTGACTAGTGGCGGCTCCTCCTGGGCTCAGTTGTTTGCTGTAGCACCGGAGAACAGGTTATAGTATCGGCTGCCAATCAAATTTATGGATGGCTTTTGCCTCTTGAAGGAGGTGAAGGAGAAAGGAGCGAAGCGGTGGAAGAACTCTTTGATCGATCAATTTGACCCTTGAATTTTCATGATTTGGTCATTCCGATACATGAACGTGACTTTTGGTCATATCAGTACACAAATTTATATCAGTACATGAAAAGTACATTATAGTTTTTATGAACATGTCTACCCATCCAGATATAGCCTCAAGGCCATTCGAGGAAATATTCGAATGCATTGTTACCTATAAAAAACACTACATTTGTAGTCAATGGCATAGGAAGCTAAGCACTGTGGTTCAGTACAAGAACAAATGTATATCTACAACTTCAGGAAGCACTTCTGAAAGTTCATTTCAACCGGCACTGTTCTTCTACACCTTGCCAGCACAAGCACCTAACATGAGTTCAGCCTTCATGCAATGGACAAGATGCCACACGATCTCGTGAACTTCCCACGAATGCAAGAAAGGCTTTGCTCCTGCCTTCTACAAATAACTCGCGGCTGCATTCCAAAACCTGATGCGCGAAAAAAGAACATCGATTTCAAACTAGGCGATAAGGCCTCTGATGAAGACCTGGGGTCCTTCAGAATCATCTGGCTTCTCATCTTGACAACGGGAGATGATGATCCATTTGGACCTTTCAGAACATCTCCAGGCACCTCCAACACCTTGGAATAAGAGGCCGAGAGATCTGGGTCTTTCGGCATCTCCTCCTCTCTTGTATCTACAGCAACCTTAGAATTTGCAGCTTCATCTCCTCCTCCTTCAGCCACTATGCTCTTGCCTTCACTTGTTAAACCAACGGCTAGCCAGGCATCTGAAATGAGTTGCATAGTGCTCTTCCCTGGAGATACTCGTTTCTCCTCCATGACTTGCAGCAACTCCTGTGCTTTCCACGGCTGTCTGGCTTCTCCATATCCCCATATCAGAGTCTCGAACGTTTTCAAATTCGGCGAAATCCCTATCTCGCACATCCTCTTGTAGACTTCCATTGCAGTGTCCATTTCTCCAGCACTGCACCAGCCGCTAATAATGGTTGTGCATATTACTACGTTCGGGCGCACGCTGTAGTGTCCCATGGATGCCAGAACCGACTGAGCCTTCTCTGGTTCCCCAGCTCGCACGTAACCTTTCGCGAGGATGCTGAATGCATGGATGTCTGGTTCTATACCAGCTTTCAACATATCATTGAAGATCTCTAGGCACTGGTCCATGATACCTGCAGATCCCCATGCATCCATTATCGTGCTAAATGTCACCACGTCAGGCTTGATTCCGTAGTCCTCCATAGCATCAAGTGCCTGTAATATAGTAATTTTTGTCGTTGAAAATTAAAATAACTATAGTAGTCACTTCATCCATTTCCATGAAAAGTTTTTAACAAAAAATTCCGGATAAGCAAGCCAAATCATATAAGTAATTACAAAAAAATGTCTACAGAAACTCTCATTAGCTAACATGATAATCCTTTTCAATTCATATTCAATCCAGTTCCAAAACCGATTACCTCAAACCAACTAAATCACTCTCTCTCCTTACCCCTATGTTGTGTTTTTCCAGTTATTCACGAATTCACACTTACTTCAATGACAAGTTCAATACTAACAAAATGTTAGAGTGATATATCAGTGACCCTAAAGTTCAGTGACGATTAACCCGACAAAGAAATGAAGCTGGTTGGAGCTCTTATACACAATGCCATAGCAATTGTAACATTTCTCAGTATAGAAACTTACCTCTTCAACTCCATCCTTGTCCAGGTTATCTACAAAGCCTTTAATGAGACAATTGAAAACGATGAGATTGGGATGCACTCCAAGCTTCTCCATTCTGTACACAAACCTTGAGGCTTCCACCATATTTCCTTCGTTGCAGTATCCATTCACAATGATGCCACAAGTTCGCTCATTTGGCGCCAATCCATTTCTCTGCATCTCGGACAATAAGTCTTCCGCCCTGCTCGTCATGCTTATCTCAGCATAAGCCCTAGCTAGTATGTTAAATGTGACAGCGTCTGGCTTCAATCCGAATGCCACCATCTTGTCTACCACGTTCCAAGCTTCATCAATGTTTCTCTTGTTACACCAAGCTCTTACTAGGATATTGTATGTCCTCTCATTTGGCTTCACGTCTTCTTCCTTCAACAATGACTCCAACAATTCTGAAGCTTGTTCGGGTTGACCAGCATTCCCATATGCTTTGATGAGAGTATTGACAGTGCTGGTGGTAGGCTTACATCCACTGATCTTCATCTTCTGGAAAATTCCCATTGCATCCTTCACATTTCCAGATTCAGAAAACGCATTGATGATCGAATTGAAGAGTATGGAATCAGGTTTCATCCCATTTTCTTCAACTTTGGAGATCAAAGACAGGATGGACTTGAAACGCCTTTGACGAGTCAATGCAGCAACTAGAGTGGTGTAGGTTAGAAGGGTTGGCTTGTGGCCATCTTCCATTAGACCATCGAATATAGATTCCGCTTCTTTGGGCTTCCTTCTTTTGATCATAATATTCATTAACTTTGTTCTTGACCGGACTATCTGGCAACTATCATTCTTGCCTGTACAGAATGGGCAGGATGATTGCACTCGTGAATTCGAGGAGATTGGGCGAAATCGGTCCTGTGAGTTCATAATGAGTCACAAGCTTTTTCGTCAGACTGTCACCCCAACTGAAAAGAGAAAGAAAAGGGCACTATCTCATGTCTAAGATAAACAAGACATCAATAAGCAAGGTCAAGGCCTTTCTTCTTGTTGCTCACAGTAAAGTAACAATGCACCAGAACTTAAAGCAGAACCACTCTAGATTGGTCGCCACAGAAATGAATTCAACTGCTTATGCTCCAGAAGAATTTAACAACCAACAGATCCAAATCATGAATGGTTTTAACTTAAGAAGGAAAATTAACAAGAATGTATGTATTACCACAATGGGAGAAACTTCAACCAGTTTGCTGCTTGTGATTGTTCCATCTTGGCATCTAGCCATCTTCCTTCCTGAAACACACCAGACAGTCATTACAAAATCAATAAACAACCTTTCGAATGTGATTCCAAAGACGGAGAAATTCTTTATCATGTTTAAGCTTTACACACCTCAAGAAGCCACTTAATATAGCAAAGTAGGAAGGATAAAGACCTCTTATTCACAACTTAGTCCCAATCAAAGCAGAACTGGTTCAAAAGATAAATAAGCAATTGCTACTCAGTTACCAGAAACCTCAACAAGTGAACCGCAACCGGAAACTGACCCTTTCTCAACGATTCAAAGCAGAACATGAAACAGGCAACAACCCAAGACGCAAAATTGCCAAAAGGAACCGATTTTGAAGCCAGATCGCAAAGATGCATATCAAAGTTCATTACTTTAGACTGCTACACAGGAAATCAAGAAACTTGCTCAAATGGGCAGTTACCTGTTGGATTGGGCAGAAGCTAGGAGGTGGGAGAATGAAGAATGGGGTGGAGTTGCATGGCTGATATGAGACGGCCTGTACAAGTAGGAGCAGCACAACTGGAGAAATACACAATTGATTGGGGAGAAAAATAAGAAGGGCTTTGTTCTGTAGTGAAAGAAGCGAGCGTAGAGGGATTCTTATCCACTAATTTTATCAGAAATAGATTGTGGATAGTATTTTTTTTGCCCATTTTTTTGTGAGGCCATGCAAACAAAGGCCAAAAGGGTTATGCCTGGCCTGCTACCACCTATAAAATACTAACTAATATTTGGATTTTGGAGGACCAGAGAGTGCCACGGTAGCCATTTTCAATGGATTGAGCCAATTATCACTGTGGTTAATTTAAGAGATAATAGTAATATCCTAGATCTTTCTCAGTGAGATATGCAAATGTGGAAATCCTAGGTGATTAAGGTTTTCAAATACTCATTTTCCAACTCCAGTTTGAGCCACTTAAACACTTTTATGGGTGAGGAGTTTCCATTGCTAGAATTTCTTATTAGATGCTCTCTAAAACTCGATCAATTCTCTTGGACCGAAACAAGATGATCGATTAATGAGGATTTAAGGACTCATACAATCTTTTCATGAGTTAAGATCAAGGCATATAAGTATACAACTAGCTTTCTCGTTCTTGGATCCTTTGGTTCAACAATAGCTCGCCTTATTGAAAGTAAAAGAGGATGATATGCATTGAGTTTTGCTTTTGTGGTTTGTCCAGACTTTTGAAGTTGAAATTTTGGATTAAACCAACTAGAACGGATTAGAGTTAGTGATAGGTCATTATAAATTACGCAATTTGGGTACCAAATGAAGGCATGTTGTTATAAAATGAAGAAGTTGGTGACTCATCTGTTACATTTTAATAGTTTAATGACTGTTTTGATAAAAACACCAAAGTTTGATGACTATTTACAATTTTCCTCCCAGTATAAATATGAACTGTTTCCTCGTATACAGTTTTCTTCTTTTTCTTCCCTCTCTCCGAGTCTCCGTTCCCTTTCTTCACCTATACGAAAGAAATGTTGTTGAAGCTATGGGGCTGGTATCGCAACTGCCTAACCTCTCATCCGTTGAAGACCCAGGTCATCAGCTCCGGTTTCCTTTGGGGCGCCGGCGATATCGGTGCTCAATACGTCACTCACTCCACTGCTATTAAACGTCTTCAGTGTACCGTAAGTAAACCCCTCTTTTCTTCTTCCTCTTCTTCTTGTTCGCATTTCATCATTAGCTTCGTTGGGGATCATTGATTGTTTCGGATTTCGATTCAATTGCTTGTTCTTTGAACTGGGTTTCGACAAGTTTCGCCCTTTCCGTATGGTTCTTTGTTGTGGTTGCCGGGGACAATCCTGGCGCCGCCGCCGCCGCGCTGGTTGGGGTTTTTGACCGATTGACTTTAATGTGTTTGAATGCTTTTGGTTCTGTTGAATGGACGTGTCTCACTGTTCTCGGCGTTGGAAGTTTTTGGTAGCCTTCACTATTGGAAAGCTGGAAAGGTCTACTTTGAATCTTTTACTGTTTTCCTTTTTCCTAGATGAAAATCTTTTTCTGGGTAGTTGAACTCCAGTGTGAGTACAGTACTGAAGCTTATCAGAACACGGGCTTGTTTCTAACATGGCTTACTTGTTGTAGTTTCTGCAATGCCCTTGACATGATTGCAGCAAGTTCATGGTCTGGTAGCTGCATATTGCACCTGAACATTATGCCAATGGTTATATCATTTCGCGCTAGTTAGCTGTTCGGTCAACAATCAGATATCATGATGTGTAAATAATTTAGAGTTTCAGCTTTGGTTCTGAGACGAAACGTGACTTGGAGACATTATTTAGGTGGGAAAAAGGGACAAAATCAATTTGTATGTGTAGCTTCTTTTGACCTAACTTAGTTGTGTCTGCTCCATTGACACCATGAGTTTCATCACCTTAAGAACTTAAATCACCAACAGTTTTGCCTACTCTGTGTTACTGTTATAGCATCTTCATGTTGTGGCTGAGAATCATTAAATACCATGTGGTCCTCTGGGAATTCAGTAGCCATTTTGTTAAGCTGAAGCTGTTATCTGCAATGATTACTGAAGGTAGTTTCTAAACTCCAGGAAGATGAGTAACTGTATTTCATGTGGCAGGATAAAGAGGCTGAATTCAGAATAAATTGGAAGCGTGTAGCTACTACCAGTGCATTTGGCCTCGGATTTGTTGGTCCAGTTGGCCACTTCTGGTTTGCCTCTTCGTCTTTTTGTCAATCATTTAGCTTTAGCAAGTCATATTCTTCAATCAGTTCTTAACTTAACTCGAGTCCTATTTCTTATTTAGGTACGAGTACTTGGACAAGTTTATCAGGTTGAGACTTAAACTAGCACCAAAATCAGCTCGGTTTGTTGCTGCTAAAGTGGCAGCTGATGGAATAATCTTTGGGCCCTTGGATCTGCTAGTGTTCTTCACCTACATTGGATTTTCTACAGGGAAGAGTGCTGCTCAAGTGAAAGAAGACGTGAAGAGGGACTTCCTTCCGTCGTTAGTCTTGGAAGGCGGTATTTGGCCACTGGTTCAGGTGGCTAACTTCAGATATGTACCAGTACAGTACCAACTTCTCTATGTCAATTTCTTTTGCTTGATAGACAGTGCTTTCTTGTCATGGGTCGACCAACAAAAAGATGCTCCATGGAAACAATGGTTCAAATCGTTCCAGATTTTGAAAGAGAGAGGAGGGCAAGGTGGATTATGATAATGATGACTATGTTCTCCTCCCTTATTGTCATTTTTTACTATGTTCCTCTTTGAATCTCTCTCTTCACTGTAACATGAGAAGAGTTGGCAGGATAGGTTTTTTTTTTAAGATTGGATTTGGGAATTGAATTAGCTGCTGCTGCTGTATGAATTTTGTATCAACCGTAATAATTCATTCCCGAGCTTTAATGCAAGAATCTGAATGAATCCTGTGAGTTGACAGATTAAACTATGTTGTTTCTTACTGCATAATGTGGAATACAGTTTGTTCATGGTTGGAATTGTGCTTCCACCTTTCTATTTATTCTTTCTAGTCTAAAGATGTACAAATGAGTAACAACAAACACCAAAATTGAAGGCCTCTATTATACATAAGCTCTTAGCTAAGGCACATAAACTACAGAAACGAAGAGTGACCTCCCCCTAGTGGCAATCTTGGCCTGAATGTGCAGGACACAATCAGACAAGGGCAGCACTGGAATCCAATGCTCTGCAAAAAGAGAGGGGAAAAAGATCACGAATGAGGTAAGGATTACAAGGTTTAATGATATATATAACCGTGAACAATTTCACAGCAAAACTTATAAATGGAGTATCAGAAATTTCAGAGATGAAAACATACAGGTATAGTCAGCAGGATTCCTTCATGATTTACTAATACAGGCAGGCTTCTTCTGGCAGCAACTGGGATGGACTTCAAAGATTGAAGAGATTTTATAGCCGATAACTGCATGTATTCTAAACTCTGTTTTCTCTTTCCTGCTATCTGCTCTACTTCACTGTCTGCATCAGTTATTTGTGGCACCAAATCATGCAAATTTTTACACCTGGCCAATTTGGCCAGATAGAGCCAATCAGACTCGGCCATATGGCGTACTTCAGCAGCTTTTCGATGATCAATTACCAAAGATGAGCAGTATCTGAGCGGTCTTTCATTCCAAGTAACCATGAATCTGTCCATGAAGTAACATGCTTTGCCTGGGTGGAGTAGCTCACTTTCAGATGCTGAGGTGCTGGGATTTTCTATGATCTCTTGCTCCAAGTGTACCTTATTCTCAGGCTTGAAATACTTTGTTTCATTCCTCTCCAGTAAGGTTATGTTGTTATGAGTTGACTCGCTGATGATACCGATTCTTTTCGCTTCTGCTAACACTGATTGGCATGTCATGTTCAAGAACTTCACATCTAATACATCTGGTACAAACTGATCCACATAAGACTTCCCTTCGGCTATAATTTCATCCAACATGCTAGGATACTGCTTCTGTTCTCTATCAAAGTCTGAGTTATTCACTTCAATTGTTGAAGGCAGAGGGCAATTGACAGAGCAGCAAACTAAGAGTTTCGTCCCCCTAGAACCAGGAGAAGGGCAGAGATAACATCCAGCTACAGTAAAAGACGTCTGCAAGGTACTCAAAGTACATCAGAAAGACGAGGAAAAGCTTAACTCTGACCAAGAATAACCAAAATATAACTGCATCAAAATTTTAAGACTAGTAAACTTGCCTTACATGGGAAAGTGCGAACGTAATCCAATAACCGTTTACTAGTGGCGCCTCTAACAGTTCTGTGCTTTTGAGAGACAAACTGAGGCATTCAGATGACAAATTACTATTAGCCTGTTAGGAACATAACTAGCCAATTTTAGACCAAAAGGTAAAACCATATCCAAGAAGATAATATAAATGACAATTACCTGCAAGACCAACGCAATAAACTTTGAAAGGCACATATCTGGAACTTTGGATGGACTAAGAACCATCAAATCAATAACAGCATAACCTTGCTGCTGGGAAAACATAGAGGACCCCAATGCCGTTCAAAAGAATAACAAGCAAGATATAAACTTTCAGTAACATGACAAGGATAGTATCTAAATAAAACTTTCATAATTCAACAGTAAAAACTATGCTTACATCCATGATGGTCACAGCCTGATCAATCAATTCATTTGAAATGTGGTCAACATATGCACGTGTTTTTCGACATGAAGATATTAGCTCTTGTATTTCAGACTGGAAAGTATCTGGAACATTAGACGACACAAATCACAATTCCAACCAATAGCATTTAAATCGTACAGATTAAATTCTTTTTAAGTTAAAAAATATCTTATGTGCAATAAAATTAATCACCACAGGGCTCACATGATGACAAATTTCCCAGTGACATTCTGATCCTGTTCCGAGCATAAGCTGGATTTCGATTTGTTGGGTCCTCCACCCAGTCTTGATTACTTGCTTGGCATATCTGGAGAAGAAAGGAATATACTTCAGATACAGGGCATTTCCACATGTAATATCAATTGATTGCTTTGACATGCAAAAATCATTGTCTTCAAGAAATGAAAATCTCTCTTTCTGTAAAAGTGCATCTCGATATGCACTAACCTTGTACATATCTTCTTTAGAAAAGTGCAACAGTGGACGCACTAGAAGTAGGCCTTTATTGTTCGAACCATCATTATGCAAAACCGTGCTTGTAGAGAATAACTGAGAAGCAAATGCCATGCCCGCAAGTCCAAGCACACCACTACCGCGGGAAAGTCGAAGAATCAGTAGCTCAGCCTGCAAATTTGTTTTCCAAGCAAACCTTCATTTTCAACATGCTAATCAGCAAAAGGTAAAAACCTGGGATCCACATGAAGAACATCGTCATTCAAACCTGGTCGTCTGCATGATGAGCAATAAGTAGCACATCAATTTGATGCTGAATGCAAACTTTCTGAAAATTTTGATACCTGGAATGCAGATTAGGATAGGAAACAAAGCAAATCAATGTGATCAAATCCTAGGCCAGCTAAACAAGTGGTATTCAGTATTCACAGCACGACTGTTAAAGACATATAGAACAGAACCTCATATCTCGCGCTGCTTCTTGCAAATGACCCTGTTTCGGCCTTCCATCCGACCAATTACACTCTGCAATCTCACATCTGATCCCTACAAAAATGTTCAGGTTACGCCATAGTAGAAGAAAAAAGCTGAAACATGCTAACAAAGCCCAAAAGAAACCGAAATGCACCCATTTTAGAAACACGGCGAGAAACAATGTGTGCCTCTTCTTTGCTCTCTGCGCGTAACCTATGATCAACGATAATGGCCAAAAGTCCATCAACATAACCATCACTCTGGCTAGCAGCATAAGGACCATCAGTTTTCCAAGCAGCCGTTAGTAAACACAACGCCATACTGTCAGGGCCGCCTGAGACTCCTACAGCTGCGGGAAAATAACACAACTCTCTCAGCCAACTTCACCACTTCACCACTACTAACTACAAGTTCCAAGAAGAAAAGATGAAAGCTTCAATCAACAAAACCACACGATTCTGAGAAAACCCACCTCCACAACCAAAAAGATAATTGCTTTCCCCCTTCCCTTCCCACAAAATTCCACAATTTAACCAAATTCACCTACAGAACTACCATGGTCTTATGCTCGCATAATAGGTAACAGAAGACTGACCAATAGAATGGTGAGGTTTGAGTCCAGCCACGGCCATTCTCCTCCCAAAAGCCTCCTTGTACCTTTCCATGTCCACCGGGACTCGTTCCTCAGCCGCACAACTCCCGCAGTTATACAATCGAGTCGAAGATACGCCGCAACCCGCCACTCGAATGCGGAAAACCTCATTCAATCCCGCGAACTTCAACTTCCGTCGCTTCAATAACGGAACCGGAATCCTAACCATAATTCCGGCCGTCGCCCTGCTTTGAGCTGAGAAAGACGAACTGAAACCCAATCCTGCTCCCGCCATCAATCATCCACTTCCTCCCCTTCCTATGGCTGCGGCCTTTGTACCGGCGACGAGGGTGGAAACGACAACGTTTCACAAGAACGAGGAAGAGGGCGTGTTTGACTATCTCAATCTTTTATCGGGTAAGAAGTGTAATTTTCAAAAGAAGTGGGACCTATGGAGAATTTAAAATTAGTTAGGGGAGGTACCTCTCAATAGCGGAACGTGGAAAAGATCGAATTTTTTTCCACCCAGAGAAAGAAAAGAGAAAAGCTTTCAGACTGGAGAAGAAGAAGAAGAAGAAGAAGGAAACCGATTAACTCTCATCATAACGAGAAAGAGAGATACTTTCCCGATTTCCATTTCTCTATGTGTGGGGTTTCCCGCCAAACCAAACGAGCTCCGACAGCTGCAGCAGCAACGAAGAACCGGGCTCCGTAGCCATGGCCGCTCGTCGGAGAACTTCCTCGAGGTTTCCGTTCAAATCCGCGGTCTTCGCGGCCGTCATTTCAATCTTCCTCTTCCGGTATTTCGCTCCATTTCGCCGGAAGGAAACCCTAACCCTAGTTTCCGAGGGCGGGAAGAACGAGACCGGGCGGAACAACAACAACTACATAGTGCGATTCAGGGAGTACAAGAAGGCGGAGGACCACCGGCGGTACTTGGAATCGGAGCTTGGATTGGGGGGAGGGTGGGAATGGATCGAGAGGAGGAATCCGGCGATGAAGTTCGCGACGGACTTTGGGCTGGTGGCTGTGGAGGGAAGTGTGGCGGAGAGAGTGGTGGGGGAGATTGGGAAGTTGGAAATGGTCAAGGATGTGAATGTGGATGTCAGCTATAAGAGGGAATTGCTTGGCGTTTCCGGCAGCGGCGGTGGAGGTGGCGGTGGTTCGTTTTCCGATGGGAAGAAACGGCCTGGGAAGATATTCACTTCTATGTCATTCAGTGAAGACGAGGAGCGGCATCATGCGGTGGCCGAAACCAGTAATTCTTCTATTCATTGGGGAAGGGAGCTGCTAGCACAGGTGAGTTCTTGTCATAGGATAGGCAAATTGATAAACGTAGATTCCTGAATGAATCAATCAATGAATGCTGTTCTTGGTGCATTCTGATTCGATTGAACTTCCGGAATTCGTAATTCCCTTTGTCGTATTGCTTGCAATTGGATGGAGATTAGATGCAGTTTGATGTGAATATATCGATTCGATGCCAGCAGCCCGTCATTTCCAAACTGCACTCTGAAATTTCAAAGTCAAACTTGATTTCATAAGATACCTGGTAGAATTCTCCGGGCCAGTAGTTATCTGATGGTACACTTGTTAGCTACGGAGTGATTTTCTTGCTTTAACTTTGCTTGCTGGTTCATTTTACAAATTGTCCAAAATGAGTGGTTTCCCTTGCAAGGAGCAGGGAAAAAGCGTTGCCAAACTTCCATTCTTCTCCAAATCTTCTTATTGTGAGTTTCTTTTTCTGCAGCAGAAGTCACAGGTGACTTCTTTATTTGGAGCTGACGTTCTTTGGTCTAAAGGGTATACCGGTGCTAAGGTGAAGATGGCTATTTTTGACACTGGAATTCGATTTGATCACCCACATTTCCGTAACATCAAGGTATTGAATCGCGAGGGACTATATATTTTTCATTTTATGTTTCTGTTTCTCTTCTACTCCAGTTCAAAGGTTACATTCTTCAGTATTTGGTTTTGGGGAGAAGGTGAAACCATGATGTGCATTTTTTGTATACTGTCTCAGGAACGTACTAACTGGACAAGTGAGGATACTTTAAATGACAACCTGGGACACGGGACATTTGTTGCGGGTGTTATCGCTGGCCAAGATGAAGAATGTCTTGGTTTTGCCCCTGATGCTGAGATTTATGCATTCCGGGTATTCACAGATGCTCAGGTAATTATTAGCTAGAAGTACTTTTTTGTTTTCAAATTTACCGGTTTGGTGAAGATTATAGCAGCCTATCCTTTTCTTTTCCTTAGAGTATGAAATATTTATCAAGCTGAGTGCATGGAGACAAAAGCCAACTGCATTTTAGGGTCCAAAAGTGGCTCCCATATTTTCATTGGACGGTAGAATCATTTTCTACGGGTTAGATTGATGATAGCATGGTGCGAGAAGTATCTGGTAGACTGTTGTATATGTTTTAGTGAATATTCAAATTGTTTTTACCGTTTTCCTTTTTGCAATTTGATTAAGTCGTTAGACTTACCAAGATTATGAGAATTTCGTATTCAGCCTATTGCAGGTATCTTACACATCATGGTTCCTTGACGCATTTAACTATGCTATTGCAACAAAAATGGATGTACTGAACTTGAGCATCGGTGGCCCTGATTTCCTGGACCTCCCATTCGTTGAAAAGGTAAGAGTTGTTTTGGGAGTTTGTTAACTCTTGTATAGGCATAGGCAGGAGAGAGCAACTGCCGTGCACACACTCTAAATTTTATTGGACAACAAACTCCCTATCAATCATCATGTTTTTATCATTTGATATTCAGACGTGGTATCTCAAGTATTTATGTGGGTCAATTGGACATTGGTTTAGGGTATCATTTTGTGTAGTGTCTTGCAATTCTATTTGCAATTATTCATTCTAGTATGGCTAGCATTGGTGTTTCACTCTTTTTATTTTCCTACGAAAGTATTTAGCATTAGTTTTATTGGCTATTTTTCTTGATCCCAGTGTTCCTTTGCATCTTGACCATCAGATATGGGAGATAACAGCCAATAACATAATTATGGTCTCCGCTATTGGAAATGATGGGCCTCTTTATGGCACTTTAAACAATCCAGCAGACCAAAGTGATGTAATTGGCGTTGGTGGAATAGATTACAATGATCATATTGCCCCATTTTCATCACGTGGCATGAGCACTTGGGAGATTCCTCATGGGTAATCTATTTACTCTTCTAAACGGCTTTGTGTTATAGCTTATGGTTGACCAAATTTCTTGTTGGGAGAAGATTTGAATGCTACGCTTTTCATTTGACTGCTTCATGTTTCAGATGATTCAAGTATTTGTGTTCTGCATTCATTTGTAGACTCACCATATTTCCCAAATATTCATGAGTTTGCCCATAGATGCATTGCAAGATCGGACCTTTTTCTGATATGGTATTTTGATGCAAATAGAGTAGAGGGAAGATATCTTTTGACCTTGATCGCTTTATGTTTAATATACTTTTCTGCACTGCCTTGAAACTTTATCAATTAGGACGTGAAAGGTAGCAGGAGTCCTGACCTATTTACATGTTCATTTCTTCTTGCCAAGTATGAGCAGCAGTTGCGATCGTGTGGAGATCATTTTATTAGTATGTAGCCCGTTGTTCTTTTTATTTGTTTGTAGTAGACCTTGACTTTTTTCTAATTTTGGTTGATAGATATGGCCGTGTGAAGCCAGATGTCGTTGCATATGGGAAAGATATCATGGGATCAAAGATAAGTTCAGGGTGTAAAAGCTTATCAGGGACTAGTGTGGCAAGCCCTGTGGTTGCTGGTGTAGTCTGCCTACTTGTTAGTGTAATTCCTGAGAGTGACCGTAAGGCCATTCTAAATCCTGCAAGCATGAAACAAGCACTGGTTGAAGGAGCTGCCAAGCTTTCTGGTCCCAATCTGTATGAGCAGGGTGCAGGAAGAGTAAATCTGTAGGTTCTCTTTTTCATGGTATTTCAGTTTCCTGCTTTACTACACGAGCAACTATATTGTCTTAACTTTCCCTTCTTTCTCAGGTTGGAGTCCTATGAAATCTTGAAGATTTATCAACCTCGGGCGACCATCTTCCCTGGTATTCTTGATTTTTCAGATTGCCCTTACTCTTGGCCATTCTGCCGCCAACCCTTATACGCCGGGGCAATGCCAATTATGTTCAATGCCACGATTCTAAATGGCATGGGCGTTATTGGTTATGTTGAAAGTCCCCCCATATGGAATCCCTCAGATGAAGATGGAAATCTGTTAAACATTCACTTCACCTATTCAGAAATCATCTGGCCATGGACAGGCTACATAGCACTTCACATGCAAATTAAAGAAGAAGGTGCCCAATTTTCTGGTGAAATCGAGGGTAATGTAACTCTCACTATCTACAGTCCTCCATCTCCTGGTGAGAAGACGAAAAGAAGAAGCACGTGTGTGCTTCACCTGAAACTGCAGGTGGTCCCCACTCCACCTAGGTCGAAGCGGATTTTGTGGGACCAATTTCACAACATCAAATACCCTCCAGGATATATTCCGAGAGACTCTTTAGATGTTCGGAATGACATTCTTGATTGGCATGGAGATCATCTACACACAAATTTTCACATCATGTTTAACATGTTAAGAGATGCTGGATACTATGTTGAGACGCTTGGTTCTCCTTTCACATGCTTTGATGCTCGCCATTATGGAACACTTCTACTTGTGGATCTCGAAGATGAGTACTTTGCAGAGGAAATTGAGAAGTTGAGGGACGATGTTATTAACAGTGGTTTAGGATTAGCTGTGTTTGCTGAATGGTATAATGTGGATACGATGGTGAAGATGAGATTCTTTGACGATAACACACGAAGCTGGTGGACACCTGTTACGGGAGGAGCGAATGTTCCTGGATTGAATGATCTCTTGGCTCCGTTTGGGATTGCTTTTGGGGATAAGATTTTGAACGGAGATTTCTCCATTGATGGAGAGCAAAGTCGGTATGCATCAGGAACTGATATTGTGAGGTTTCCATCAGGTGGTTACGTGCATGGTTTCCCTTTACTGGATAGCTCAGAGAGTGGTGCAACTCAGAATGTGCTGTCGAATTCAGGATCAGGGAAGGTAAAAAGAATCTGAATTCCATAAACATTGTCTTCTTACCACTTCGGTATTTGCTGAAATTAAAGGGTGTATACCTTTAAGCTGAAACAGACAGCCTAAGTCTCAATTTAATCTGCTGCCTCGAATGGAGCAATTTGCATACATATTTGTCGCAATCAGCAAATAATTTTTAATGAAATAGTTCAAAATTCTACTGGAAAAGAAAGGATCTTTGTAATTTGGAATTGTGTT